TTGACTGGCAGCAAGTGTTTGAGGTTATCTTCACCCCCTTACTCCGTGCTTGGCGGGCTCGAAGTCCAAGACGGTGAGTCGATGATGGCAGCCGGGGAGAGCGGATCATTGCAGCTGAGGGAGTTGTCAACGGGGACTTCCACTATCATTGGAGGGAATGCAAGTCACAGGAGGAGCAAACTTGTAGATGAGATTCTGGACGAGTAGAGACTGCAGATGCTCATCAGGCGTGCCAAGCCACACACACGCCAGGAGAACTCACTTGTCGCAGACTGTATACGCCGCCGTAGAATTGAGGCTTGGCGTCAACGGTGGAGTAAAGAGACTTTACACGCACTTATCGATTGAGAAATCCGTGGAATTTCTCTACCCCAGATTGATTACCCTCGACCGTCCCGATAATTAGAAAAACGGGGATTTCCACTAAAGGCGCCATTTTCTGCCTGCCTCGTGATTTGCCACCCAAGCCACCTTGCTCACCGACTACTACTCCAAGGAAGGGTGCCGAACTAAAGGCTCTATGATCGCGCCAAGAGGATCGACATGAACGGTTACTTAAACTATACCTGTTCCTTGTGCATACCACCGAGATCTGTCGAGCAATTCCCCAACTTCCCCAAGCACTCATCGGTTGCTGACTTTTCGTTGGGGTCGTGGTGAGCTAAGGGCAACGGCAGGAAGCATACCAGGTGCCTCCCAGAAGACTCATTGCGGAAAGTCTCTCAGGTAAGCTCCAGATGATGCCGATGTCTAACATGGAGATGTGGGCTTCTCCGACAGTTGGTGGGGATGGAGAGCATCATACCACGAGCGGCAGCAACCCGATATAGAGCAAAAACTTGGAGACAGGAAAGGCCCGTTGCAGGATATATTCAGCCATCTTGATTGGAAAAATGCCGAGAATGTTGTTGTTGGTGGCTATTCCTTTCGACACAGTCATCCCGGCCATCTGCGACTCTTGACGCTCATAGCCCAACATGAAGGTCCTTGGTGTCGTTACCTCGTTTCTTATAGCCAAGGCAGTGGCACAAAAACAACCACCAGGTATAACAGAGCCAATCGTGGAGGACTGCGGCTTCGGTGGCTCTGTGGTCTGCGTGAATAAATATGTGAGCAGTCATGCTTCACTCACTCTCAGACAGATACCTTGCTGACAATGACAAGGCGGCTGTACTTCCATATCATTTCAACCGCTCTATAACTTCACTGGACGCAGAGTATGACTTCCGCAACACCAGTGTACCAAACGCCCCTACTTTCTCGCTCCTTCAGAATGCCTCCTTCGTGGTATTCGATCGAGAACGCGGGTTGCAATACCTTGGGTCGGAACCGACGTTGGAGTTCATGTTTCCACTCGGCAATTCAGTGCATGAGGCACCCGTCTACGTGCCCGGTCTGAACAAGCTGTTCATGTCTCAACTGCCGCCACAATTGGCGCCGCTGAGCAACATGTCCCAATATTTGCCGCAACTCATGGTCGACCTCAACCAGGAACCATTGACGCTGCAGGAATATGTGACGGACCCTCCGATCTTCGCGCCAAACGGCGGTGTCTATCACAACGGGCAGATCATCTGGGCATCTAGCGGTGGCTTCGACAATCTCAATGGCACGGAGCAGCGTATCGCGCTCCACACTGTGGACCCTACCACCAACAAGTCTAGTGTTATCCTCAACAACTACTTTGGATTTTATTTCAACAACCTGGACGACGTCACCGTCCACCCCACGTCAGGCGACCTCTTCTTCACGGATCCCGACTACCCATGGTTCAACGGCCGCGTGGACACGGCTCCTCAGATCCCCACAGCGTCCTACCGCTTCAACCCAACCACGGGCGCTCTATTCCTCATCGACGATACTATCGAACAGCCCAACGGTATCGCATTCTCGCCAGACGGGAAGACTCTGTACATCTCCGAGACAGGGTCGTTGACCGGTAGCATCGACCCCGCGGTCGGGCCGGGGACCAAGCACTACAACACGACGGGCAAACGATCGATTTACGCCTTCGACGTGGCCAACAACGGCACGAAAATCAGCAACAAGCGGTCCTTTTACCAGGCGCAGAACTACATCCCGGACGGCCTCAAGGTCAGTCGCGAAGGGCTCGTCATCACCGCCACGGGCCACGGTGTCGACGTGATTGACGACATGGGCCAGCTCCTCGTCAGAGTGCAGACGAACCACTCGGTGGCGAATGTCCAATTCACGGGGCCGAATCTCGACACTCTGTGGCTCATGGGCAACAAAGGTATCAGCAGGGTGCAGTGGAACATCACGGGCCAGACCCCAAAGTAGTTAACGATCGTTGAAGAATGAAGCGAGGATAAACCTCGGCGTGAGATTCTCGGCCGGGGTCTAGCTAAGAGTTGTTGTCTTGAACATAATAGTTACTCCACAATCCAATCAGATCTACCCATGGCCTCTTGTCACACATGCATCCAGACATTTACACAGCACAGGATTGGTCAGAGGCACGTATTGTGTCGACAAGGCTGTCATTCTTAAACAAGGCTCGGTCTCCATTCTCCATTCCCCGCGCTCTGTTCGTCATCACAGAGCCGAGGTGCGAGGCTATGGAATACGAGCACTTGTAAACCACTTGATATTTGTGCAGTCCATCTTCGTCCTCAGGACAAGTACATCTATTGATTTTCTGTCGTGGGCAAGAGGCGCCAAAACTCTCCAACCGCACCCAAATTCACCACCAGTTGTGGCAAACATCTGAACCAGACATGGCTCCTTTCGTCGAGACATTGAGAAACCGAGGGCCCTTCTTGGGCACCTTCGTTACGCTTACCTCGACGTTATCCGCTTCTATCGTGGGCGCCTCTGGATATGACTGTGTGATTATTGACATGGAGCATGTTCCTGTCTCAGCTCTAGAAGCTACGCATATTGTCCATACGATAGGTTCGGCGTCCAAGGGTACCTGTTTGCCTCTCGTGCGGGTACCGTCTCATGGGGTGGAATGGATCAAATGGGGCCTCGATAGCGGCGCTTCCGGCATTGTTATCCCCATGGTCAATACTGTTGAAGAAGCTCGCCAAATTGTGCAAAAGGCTCGATATCCGCCTCTTGGCCAGCGAAGCTTTGGGCCCGCCTATGCGCCCTTTGCCGACCCGGCATCCGATCGATCAATCGGTCAGTATTTCGGGGACACTGCCCCAGGATTAGCCGTCTTTCCGATGATCGAGTCTGCCAGCGGTGTTGAGAATGCCGATGCTATCCTAGCGACGGAAGGTGTCAGTGGCGCCTTTGTCGGGCCTTTCGATCTGCGATGTTCGCTGGGTCTGCCCGGTGGTGACGGGAAAGAGGATCGCTTCCTTGATGCTCTCAAACGGATTGTTGCAGCAGGAAAGAAGGTCGGCAAACCTTTGGGTATTTACACCGGGTCCAAGGAACAAATGGAGCGTAATTTGAGCCTGGGCTTTGAGTACATTCTCTACCATGGTGATTCGACCCTCCTTGCCGTGGCAGCCAAGGCTTCAGTTGAGGAAGGAAGGTCAGTGATTCAGCAGGTAAAGTCTTCGCGAGCTGTTGCGGGCACGCCTATGGCCATGGTCCAAGGTATGCACACTTCTCACCACTCAGAATGCGTGGGGGGCTGATGTTGCAAGAGACAGGTTTCTTACGTAGTATCTCAATACACTAGCAAACTGCGTTTCTTGTTTCACCCTGGTACTGCCTAATGACTTGTCTTTCACACGGATCTGGGCTCCAAAAGATACGCGCCCCGTCCGTAAAAGGCGACTAAGCGAGGCGCAGGTCATCCATTTCATGACACAGCTCGCGAAAGTGTACATCTACCATCACGAGTGCTTCAACCGAGACCGTCGCCCGTGTGATACCGCCAGGGCTGCACACTCAATCCACTCTTTTTCTTGTGTCACGACGGCGACAACCCGGCCAAGAATTCACCTGCACATACTCGAAAACTTCGCGCGTTGCGGAACTACCTAGAGACGGCAGACCAGGTGGTCCAGGCGTCCGACACAGCTTCATCGATTGCGTCTGCTACGGGCATCCGCTGCTTGTCAACACTTACTGGATCGTCGCGGCAATCCAGTTGCTTCATAGGGCACATACGCCGTCCACGGTGGAACGCCTGCTCGCCCAGTCGAGTTTCGACCTGACGAAGCTGACCTTGGTCAAACACTAGAAATACTGGGGAGCGCCGACCACGACACTGACCAACCTGGCTGTTTTCGAGAGGGAGCTGCGACCGATGGTCCCCAAGGCACAGCAAGAAGAGCCTGGAGACAAGGGAAGGCCAAGAGAACGTATCACTGGTATCAGAGCAGAGATCCGTCTTGGAGACCGCCGCGCAGCTTGATAGCTATCCACCAGGGATTGAGATTGTACCCGCGACCACCGACGGACAGTTTAGTTCAGCTCAGGCTCACCCGGAGAGCGGCGAGCAAGCGCTTTTGATGTTGGCATGCGAGACTTCGCGCTTGTGGAAGACCTGTCAGGACCCCTCAACCGAGGAGTTGTGAACGAAAATGGGCCACAAGTCTACCTTGACAATGTCTTCTCCAATACTTGGGATGATTGAGACGACAATTTGGATCTCTGGATTATGGGATAAACCCCTTCAATGTAAAAGGGTCGATGGCACCCTGACTCTAGCTCATAGTATGCAGCGGTAAAAGCGGATGATCGCAAGAAGAACACCGATCCGGGTTAATCACTAAGGCTAGGCATCACTGGAGCTGGAGAAAAGAATCTTTATTCTTCATTATGTATGCGGGTAAAACGATTGGTTGATTGGCGACTTTCCATGCGCTGGTGGTTGTGTTCGCTTCGAGCTGGGTGCATGCCCGCCACGTGGCGAAGCGCGAGCTCCCAGCCTTTCTGGACACCTGCCAACGATTAAACCTGAGCAGAAGCAAGCAAAGAAATCATTTCTGGATGTGCCTTTGTTGTTGTGGATATCCTCCGACAGCTGGTCACTGAATCTGTATGATTTCCGGCCACCAACTTTGATCGCGACGATGTCTACACCTTCTCCGCCGGCAGCCACGGGAGCCTCAGCCGTCATTGCTGCCAGAAGCTCCGTGTACAAACCTTTGAATTCATGGCAGACCCGCCTCATCAAGCTTTTGCCAGGACACGAGGCCGATCCGTTAAGATGCGAACTGCACGCTGCAGCTATCATAAACGAAGCAGGGCTTGGAGTCGCCGAGGTTTACGACGCGGTTCAATACACGGCCCTATCCTATTCCTGGGGCCATCCCACATGCACGGCGCCAATCGATTGTAACGGCGTCCAGGTTTTCATTCCACCTCCGCTAGCGGACGCACTGAGGCATGTCCGTCACGTCGATAAGCACAGGTGGGTGTGGTGCGACGCTCTTTGTATCGATCAACAAAATACGGACGAGAAGGCTGCGCAGGTCAAGCAGATGCTTCTAATCTTCCGCAAGGCGGAAAGAGTGATTGCTTGGATCGGCACCATGTCTGGCCCCGTCATACGGACCTTAGCTAAAGTGATTGGTCAACCTGTCGAGAATGTACGCCACTGGCGATACGACCCACAGGAAATAAAGGCGGATCGGGTTGAAACAGTAAAGCTGTTGTTGCAAAGACCCTGGTTTCGCAGAACTTGGGTCCGTCAAGAAGTATATGCTGCTCGCAGACTAGATCTCCAGGTTGGTCACCATTCAATGCTTTTCGGCAACTTTGTCGACTTCGTCAAGACGTGCAGAGAGATGACGCCACAGCTGGACAGTCTTTCGTCGAGTCGACTCGATGCTGAATTCCAGGGTCAAGCCTCTTTAACTACTCTGGCATTTTGCGTGTTCGGTGATAACAAGGACTTTGATGCCTCGGATGATCGAGACAGAATATACGGTTTGATCGGAATGCTAGAACGAGCAAGGACAGGCGACGCAGCTGGTCCGGAAGGCTGGACAGACCAGCTACTACAGCGATTTCCTATCGACTACACCGAAGGTGTGACCGCGAGCGTGGTTTACCAGCGCTTCATGTCATTCCTGATGGCTTCGGAGGATAAACTAAAGTGTCTGGAAACGTCTGGCACCCGCTACTCGAGCGCAAACATGCCCTCGTGGGCTATCGATTGGAGAAATAGTGACTTTCACTACGGCGCGTACCAAAACCTCCATTTCTGGATTAGCGGCGTTCCTGGTCGGTATTACAACAAGGCAGAGCTGGCAGACCCTGACTTCTGGGAGTTGCCAGTGGAGGCCTATGGAAAGGAGGAGTGGACACCACCTCAATATCTGGAGACTGAGAACCAGCTCCGTCTCAAGGGCGCCCGATTGGGGGCAATCAATTCATCACAAATCAAGGATGTGCCGCCGGAAGGCTGGAGATGGTACTATGAAGAAAGAATCGCATATCGGTATCGTTCTAAGTTTATTGAGGAGCGCCGGCGCTTGGATCGAATGTTGTTTCATAAGGATTTCAAGGCCATGATTGTCTCTGATGATGGTGTTGTCGATGACTCGGACCACGTCCTGGCTGGAAGGTGTGGAGTAGTGGTTACCGGAGACGTCAAAGACGGCGACTTGGTCGTACAGCTGGTCGGCTCCAAGATGGTCCACATCTTAAGACCCACAGACAAGGAAGGGACATTCTCTCTGGTTTGCGCCGGCTGGTATTGGCGCCTTCCTACCACTGCCGAGAAGTTATATTCAGAAAGCATAGGGAGAACGCTGCCCGTGGAGAAGCCATATGCCTCCGTATTCGACGTATCCGCCGATTTCATCTTTTACTGTGACATCCAGAATTTCGCCAATTCTCTACCAGGGTTAATCGGAGAGTCTGAAATAGGACCGACACGCTGGGAGAGGTTTGAGATTAGGGTGGTGGAAGCTACAGGCGGCATTCACCAGGCCAATCGTTATGGTCATCCTTTCTATGTACACCCTTCGGACGACAGTGTTTCGGAGGAGTTTACACGGTCGGGGTTGGAAGAGTTTATTCTGATCTGATTTCGGCTCGATTCCTTGCAAGGTAAGTTCTAAGGAAGACATTTATTAGATCCGGCTCAGAAAGACTTAGTTACTGAGGTGTACTAGTACATTTCAATAATTCCCATCTCCAGGACAGATCAAAGTCCCGTGGGGTCGAGAAATAGACGTGTCCTGGCGTCGCTCCGGCAGAACGTATCTAGAACGAAAAGACTTGGAGTATGAACAGTGTTGAGTACCGCGAGGTTACCTTTACATTCTGTGTTGCTTCTCGCCAGATATCTCAGATGTTTAGCCGCTTAAACGCCCGAGAACTATAAACACGAAGTAGGTAGCAGTCTATACTCCGTATAGCTGATATTTCCTTGCTATCGTCCTTGCCATCTAGGATTGTCCAGGTAATGAAAGCGTCAAGGTGACACGTCCTGGTCACGAAGGACTCGGGATCAATTCCCTCCTGTAAGCGGAAGCAGCGTGAAACGTAAGGAGGTGAGAGCAAAAGCGAAAGTGATGACCTTTTTTTGGGTACGCTCAGCTGAGACGGTTGAGGTGTAAACTGGCAATTAGAGGCGGGTGCTGGTTACAGGACTCCTAGCCCGGATACGGGCACGATTGACCCCTTGCTCAAGCTAATTCAACATCGTGATCAGTCACTTGTCGGACAGGCTCAGGTTGAAGCGGCGAGCCTCAGGTCATGCTCAGGTCCAAAGATGGAAATGGAAAGCGGCCTTATCGTGATTCCGACGTCAAACTCCCTGGATCATGGCGGTTTCAAAACGAGGCCAACAATGGCAAATCAGACAAATCTGCCAAGTAGGATCATGAAATCACCATGACGACCCTGCAGAGCCCGTCGATTTTACTCCAGTCTATTGACAACTGGACTACAAATCATCTCAACTTTCTGTGGATGGACGACGGCTAACCTTATGAGAGTCTTACCGGGAGAGACTTGCGAAATTCGTATAAATAATCTGAGTATTTTCCCACTGTTTTGTCAGGTACTTTTCAAATTTGAACGCGTGGTAGAGTTCACCCAACCACTCGCACGTGACATACTCAGCGGAGAAATAATTTCCCGTTTTACTCGAGAAGGATGCTAAGTCCTTGGCTACATTATCTTGACTGCGTTTTAATTCCACCAATCCCATCTCCATTCCGACAATATTATATAAAACTCCCTCAATATACTTAATAAATCCATAATACGCTTAACGAATAGACTGGCTCGTCGGACGGGTCAATTCCCTTTTGTGGTTTGGAATGCTTAAAATCGGTCCGCTTGCTGCCTGACGAGGAACTGCCCGCCGCGAGCCAGCCTGAGCAAAAGCGGCGCGAGGTCACGTGGGACGAGAGGGAAGCCAGCGTCGAGATTCCAAACATGTACTTCACCTCCCTACGACGAACGACCTTTGACGCACAAAGAAACACGACAAGACACGACAATAATGTTAAGCTGACACTTCAGCAGGTGAGTTGTTTACCGTCTTTCTCATATCGGTATGATACAGAAAACCCACTGCGCCTGGTAAGAACTGGTCTGATTCTGAAATCCAGGTGATTCGCCCATCATGTCGACAACCGCGACAGCCCTTGTTCCCTCTCCCTCTTCTTTGAGGTCTAGCTACAGTCCCGCGCTCCAGACTGCTCAACATGCAGTATCGCAAGTCACAAAAGCCGTCGCAAACGCGCCCAGCAATGTCTCTGGAAGAACGCCGAGTCTCGGTTTATCTACGTCCAAACCTGTCGAGACTCCCACTCCTCCCTCCACCCCAGGAAAGTTTAGACACCCGATGACAACAGAGATTTTGAGGAGGAATGCTGCGACAGCACTTACGGACAGAAGCGTCAAGGGTGCTGTGACCAATGCTGCCGCGCTGCTTGTAACATTCATATTCAGTGATGTATACTACCGCAGGTATGTTCAAGTAGAGGCTTCGAATTGCAACAGCTAACTTGCCAGCAGTGTTCCTCCTCTGCTCAGTTCCAGCGGCATTGCCGACCCGACTCAAATTTCCTGGACCGCCCTTCTCATCATCCGCCTCCTCTTCTGCCTCAATATCATACTTCTCCTCCGACCCATCATGCCGTACATATCCAAGAAGGACCAGATCACGGATATCCCATTGACACCCTCCCAACGATCCCTCCTGGGCCTCAATCCGTCCGTTAATCAAGGCCAGAGCCCGGCCGGCTCGGCGGCTAGCTACATCACCCCTCCGCGCTATCGACGTCTCTCTGCTTCGTTCGGCGGCAGTCCCACACAGGGCTATGGTTCTGGCTCGACTGACCGCCGCAGTATTTCGGCGAACTATTCTTCATCCCCTCTATCTACATCCCGCTACACCCTGGGCTTCTCACCCACACCCTCGCAATCCCTCCGTCGCACGGCTTCAGGCTCACCGTTTTCCCCTTCTCCAACCGCAAGTCCTCTATTCCACAAAGCTGTGAACCAGAACCAGTCCTCGCAAGTCTTAGATGGTGAACTTGGCACCAACAATCATTCATCGTTTGGAGCGATCAGTGGCGGAAATTCAGGCCTCAATCGATCCCAAAGTCTGCGTGAACGGAGACCGAGACGATCGAGCTTCGAACCAACTTCGCCATCCCCTACCAGAGCCCCGCAAGTTGTTCCAGGGTTAAATTACAAATGGTTGTATGACAAGGGCAGGAAACTACCCAGAAGCGATTCTTTTAGCGCCTTCTGAGCTTGCACGACGCGGTTTTGGTTATGTAGCGTTCAGTTTCACCACGTTCCACCTTGGCACAAATGAGTGTTTTGTTTACAGACCGGCTGGAAGGACCGCTTGGAGCTGGGGCGTTTACTCGTTGACAGCGAACACGTTCCGCTGCAATGTGCAGATTTGACTGGACTAACCGAACATTCAGAGGCTGTTTTCTGACAGGATTCTAGTTTTTCCATTTACAGAGTTTGGAGTAGGCTCTCTTGAGCGACAAATGACATGAATATGGCTGAATGATTGATCCATTGCACTTTTTCGTCTTTCTCTCTCCCCCCCTCCCCCTACTCACATAGTCCTATGCCCTGCCCCGTCTCCATCCAGCCCACCTCAGTACAAATACCCTCAACTAGCCAACTAGCCCGACAAGACAGGACAAGATTCGCAGCCGCCATGCCCAGACGCGACCGCATTCTATTGACTCGAGACGTACTTGTGGGTATCGAACACGAAATAGAATACCCAGGAACTCGCAAAAAGCAAAAGTGTTGAATCGCTCATTTTTAAGTCGTTGGAATGGTTTCGCAGAGCGCAAGAAGGAGGGAAAAGGGCAAAACAGGAAAAGGAACAAAGCAAGGACGGCCGTGCGCTCGAGAAAAAAAAAACCAAAAAAAAAACCAACAAGCACAGAGTTCTAAAACACCCTGCGATCGTGAAACTGCATACAGCATAGCATGCCTTGGTTCTTTGTCCTTTCAAAACGCCCTTGTACCGCAGTCGTCGCGTCTGATCTACCGTGACAAATTCGCTCTCAAAAAAAAGAAAAAGAAAAGACAATGGCAAAAAGCGCAACAATAAAGATTGATTAGACTTCCCTTGTGGTGCGTCTTCCTTGCATGGCAGCAGCACCCTCGGTCCCATTGTTGGTAGCACTGACGCTTCTCACTCCATTTCCCACTCGAGACACCAGACCACTCAGGTTCAACCCCTGAACACCCTGGACAATCCTGCTACCCACTGCATCCACCGCTCCTCTTGGCTGGCTTAGGCTTGGACCTTCTCTTCTCCCCTCGGTCGCAACCTGGAATAACTTCACGTTCGTGCCGTTCCAGACACCTACCGGCCCGGCCATCACTCCGCCTCCTGTCAACGTTGCCGCTGTGCTGGAGGTGGGCAAGATGGTCATTTCCGCAGTGAATATTAATGACCAAAGCACAGACATGTACCATCCTAGGGACAGTGGCGACCACTCAAAGAGGTGTACTCGGATGGGGGATGGGGAAGCAAGGATCGCAGCGATGGCGGGGTGCGTAGCCGTGGAGGGAATCTGAGAGCGGAAGTCCGTTGGACTTGTTGTCGGGGAGTTAACAGGGGATGGCTCCTCGCCTCCAGTGAGTGACGAGCGCCGCGAGGAAGTGACCGACGGTGGATTTGTTGTATCACCCTGAGTGGCGCCCGTGTTCCCAACTCGTGGTGATGCGAGAGGGTGCGTAGAAAGGACTTTGATCACAGTGAGTAGCGTGTGAAGGGGCAGATCGGGGAGCCAGCTCTCTAGCCATTCTGAAGTAGCTGTAAATGAGCCGCGGCCTGTGGCATATGTTGAGCTTGCCGAAAGGCTTGTCGTACTATTTTGTCGTGAGAATGTCGGGGCATTCGCCGGCATCTTACCCCTGGCCTTTTCTGACATGCCTGATAACTGAACGGGAACGTGGTCATCAACAACAGATGACGACCCTATCGATGGTGTGCGAGATGTCTGCATAGAATGGGTCGATTGAGAAGGAGTTGGTGGCTCTTCATTATCCGAATCGTCCGAATCTCCTATAGCGAACGTGCCGTCCACTGCACTGTCCGGGTGTGGTGACATGCCACCGCGAGCTTCTGGCGTAGACACGTTATCCAGCGTGGATGATCTGGAAATGCCGTTCGCATTATCGCCCAATGCACTCTCCTTGCGCCGTTGAGTAGCTCGTTCGATCTCTGCTTGACCGCCTTCCAGCGTAAACAGTCTTAAGGCCTCAATGCGTCTTCTTGACCGCCAGACAGCATATATCAGGTTTGCATTGGATGCATATTGGTGCTCTATCATAGTGGTGATAGATTCCAACAGCGCCCGGAGAAGGACATGGTTGCTCTCGTTTGCAAGAAGAAAACTTGGGCTTGACATTGATACCAGTAGCTGTACCAAACGAGTGCTTGCAGCCAGGGAGAGATGCTGCACATAGGCGGCCATGTTATTAATGATGGCCAACAAGGCAGGATATATGGCTTCGAGTTTGCCTTTGCTCCCTGTAATCAACGTGTGGATAGATGTGATTAAGAAGTCCGCATAGGTGCCTTTGAAATTTGCCAAACGAATGGATGGTGGTAATGTATCCTGTGCTTCAAACTTTTTGTTGAGATTGTTCCCAAAGGTGGATTCGACGCTCATGGTTTGGAGGACGAAGACGCACATCCTCACGATCCCCTGCTTCGACGTGTCCGTCTTGTATTCAATGGCGTAGAAGAGCATGAGGATGACGAAATCATGTGCGCGATTGGACTCTATGATGAAAGCCCGGAATCTTTTGTTGCATTGAAGTACTTCCCAGAAGAGCATGATCATTTCTGGCGCCCACTTGACTGACTTCTGGCTTCCAGGTAAATATGAGGTTGTCGCATGCATCGGCTGGCTCAAAACTCGTGTCATGCCGTCGGCGAGGAACTGGAAATCTTCCGGTCTGTGTAGCCGACCGAGATAATGGCGGTAGAAATTCTTAGGGGCTGGGCCATTTCCGCTTTCGGGAACCGGGTATAGTAGAAGGACGAGGAGGAGTTGTAAGCTATACACGACAAGAGTCTGTTTGGAATCCTTCCGCACCACGTGGTCGTAAGGCAGACGCCATGAACCCAGATTAGATTTGATCGTGGTATTGACCAGAGAGCACAACGTCGAGAGAACAATCTGCTTGTCTGGACATGTGGCCAGGTATGTGATAGCCCTGACACCTTGAACAGGGAGAACATTGGAATGCGTGTACATGGCCTTGCTGGACAGGGTCAGGAGAAGCCTGAGGACTTCGCACCGGTTGCTCTCGAGCTCTTTGTTCGTTGGGATGGAGGATTTACAACCCACACCACTCTGCCAGATTGCGTACGTGACCTTGCTTTTCGCCTGTGGTAGCTCAGGTATCGTAAAACGAGCGTAGAAGAGGAGATCGATCAATGTGTCTATAAGTTCTTCCGCCAGTGGCTTCACATCTTCGAATTCGGGCTCGCGATTGTCTGTAGGGGTATTCTCCTCAGTCTGATTATCGTCGAATAGTATTTCACCCGATACTTGAGATCTTCTCGTCCGGCGCCGCCTCAATCCCCAGAAGAACTTCTCCTCCCATTCTGCTAAGTCATCGGCCTCATAGACGTATGGGAGGAGACGGGTGAGGACTCGTATGCAGTTGAGGGCATCCCTTTCCGGGGCAAGATCAGGATCAGGAAACGAAGGGTGGTTCTTCAACACGATCAGGCGCGATGTAACGGCTAGAATGAGGGTTTCGAGGTTCTCGAGCGCGGAATCTCGGGTTCTGCGAATGTCGGTATGTGAAAAGAGACTGAAGACATCCTCGACGGATTCAGGTAACTCCCAGAACTGCGACTATCAGCGTGCCACCTCACAAAAGCCATCGTGCACCTCACATTTGTCCAGTATGGGTCATTGGCTGCAATGTTCCTCTCTTCAGAGAGCCTGAAGATGCCTTGTTTGAATACCAACTTCGACTCTGATGCACCCATGATTCAAACCGCACATCGCAGATAGACTTGAGAGCGACCTGGGCACGGAACAGAAGAGTGACTCCTACGGCGCATTGAAAATCACGGAAACGAAGGTTGACGGATCATGTCGTGTAACTTCACCACATGTTGGAGCGAGGAGGCAGAGTTGCGGGCATCGGCAAGTCGGAGTCTAGATGACGACGAGCCAAGACATTTTGAGGTGAGCCACATCGCATTCGATTGTCCATGTCACGAGGCTGACATGCCCCTGGCACCCACCTGGTATCACACTGGGTTATGATTAACTGTATACTTGTATTCAAGCCTAACATCATCTCGAGATAAATCCTCTACTCCCAGTAACCCGCAACATTTGAGCACACAGCTCGTGGGCAGCCTCATCTCCTATCGATTCGCACATGCTCGGTCTAAACCATGGCCTTGTCCATGTGACTCTCACTGTGGATCGCATCCTCGGTGACATTGCTTGTCTTTCGTGCCTTCTTCCGTTCCCCGTAGTCTGCGAGTGCTGGGAAGAAACACCCTGGGTGAATAAATGTCTGAAGGATCGTGGCGACGCCAATTTGTCTTGATCTGCCGTCAGAGCCTTGTCAAAGTATGGAGGAAGGGACTATACTAACACACTGTCAAGTCCGATAAAGAGGCCTTGATTCTGCATGATTGGGTTACGCCAACCATTGGCCATCTCCGCGACTCGGTAGACGCATCGAATCAAGATGGCCACGTAGGCAATCAATTGTGCCACAACAAAGACCCTGAACCTCAAATCGTGCACTAAGGCCTGAGTGGATTCGGATAGCGGCTGAGATCTGAATCGCCTTAATGAGTAGTCCGATGTGGCCACTCCAAATATTAGAAGAGTCAGGACCTGCCATGATATACCAGTGATCATGAGTCTGTCTCCAACATCTCGAAAGCTCTCGTCGTCTCCAGCGGACCCTGCTATGCCACCACCAGCTGCTTGTAAAGTCAGGGCAAGAAAGTCGGCAATGATAAAGGCCCAAGTGTAATATTTCGGTCTGATTCTCGACCACTGCCTCCCAATCTGTAAGACCAGATGTTTCAATATCAGATAGATCGCTGCAGCGTTGAATGCAGGAGCAAAAGTGAGGCAACAAATCTGAATCTCGAAGCCGACAGAGTCGTAGGGGTTGCGGTGCATGAGACATCGACCAACGTAGCCGATGCAGCTAGATATGCAGGCAAGGGTCATGGCAGTCATGTATGACCACGTCCTATAGCGCCAGCCAAGGCCAAGATTGATAATGAAGCAAAGTCCAAAGAGGGCGCTGAAAAAGGCGTTCGATCCCAGAGCCGGATAATATCCATATATCGAGGCCTCGACGGGACATTGTTCGGATACCTCATTGCAATCGAGCGGATTGACGTGAGAGGGGTTGACCGGCATCACGAACGCCCACTAGCAAGACTCGCAACAAAGTGCTTTGAACAAGAAGGGATCTCGCCCTTGCAGACAATATATTCCGTCCCTCAACTCGGTACAGGGCAGGGAGAGAAGGCGCAGTGCAAGTATGGACAGTCACAGATGTTAAATGAGTGAAGTCACTCCACTGAGTATTTAACTTGAACCATGATGTCCACTAGGTCCAGGCACTGCTCATACCAACAAGGAGGAACGGAACGACAACAACAACCTGCGCACAGGCCAAGCAGACACTTCGCGCAACATGGTTATTTCCGGTCTAGTGCAATATGCTTTTACAAGAGTTGTCAAATCAGGACAGCACCTCAACATCATGAATCATGGCGTGTGGTTAGCCCAAAGCGTAAAATACTCGTTTGGGATTGGGTTCTGCCGCTGGAGGCTGTACAAGTCTTGGGATCGGAGGACAATTGAGAATTGTACAACTAGATGGATGGCTAAGAGCACGGGTTGTGGTAAACGAAATAGGATACGAAGGTTTTCGATGGGAAGTGGACACTGTTCCTTGTGATATGGCATCATGACTGAGATGTCTCGATGCTCCGAAGACAGACTAGCCTCCTTACAGCAGCTTTCGCGAGGCTCAGGCAAGGCTGGGCGGTTGCCCAATCGCCGTTGACCAAGTCTTACGGCCGAAGACCTCGCGAAGATGTCACAACCAACACAATGGCTTCAGAGCATCTGTGGTGGACGGGGGTTTTCTCATGGGCATCAGTGTACATTGACTATTTCGTCAGTCCAAGCGTACCTAAATCAACCGCCCTTCCATTTATACTCGATACAACAGGCGGATATGAGACATACTGTACGACGTTGCGAGTACTCGATGCCAATAGTTGAACTTGCGGCTGTGTTGCCTTTTGAGCGCAACTACCGAGAACGAGGTACAAGTACTTCAAATCGGATAAACGATGTTGCCGCCCCGAGATACCAACTGCGGCTCCGGGGCTCTTTCTTTCCCCTCTCTCAGAATCACTCAAGCAAGCTACGCACTGCCTAGGTACTATTTCCAACCGCAAACTCACGCGTGGATGTGCTTATTACTCTCCAGGTGTCGCTCACGAGTCAGAATGCTGACCTGACAGGTGAGATAGGTATTATTCTACCTGTTGCGGCGATCCGTCGGCAAAAATGTGATGTATCTTACTGTAACGGACCTTAACAATCTGGGACGTTTTGCCTCGGTCCCCGGCTGCACTCGACTCACGCGGTTCGACTCTCCTCCCCACAACTTTGTCCCCATGTGCCCCCCCTGCGTCCCTGCGCCAACTGTTGCTGGGAATTTGTGATCACCTCGGTCATTTATAATTATGAATCGATATATGAAGGAAAGCATGGTGTTCTGACCTACATCCACTTTCTTCTTCTCCCCTACCCTGACCCTTCCCGCCTGCTGTATCCTACGCCGACCTGACTGGACCGTCGAACTCCCAAATACCGCCGACTGCCTCCTCGTACGAACCAAAATCACAACAACAATGGTTTTCAACACCGAACTCACACGCCGGCTCGGCATTAAAGGTATATTCTGGAAGCTGCACGTCTGGCGCATATCTTGCTAACACTGGAAAAGTTCCCGTTGTCCAGGGTGGGATGCAATGGGTCGGATATGCCGAATTAGCATCTGCTGTATCCAACGCAGGCGGTCTTGGTATTGTAAGTCGGTGGAATCCGACAACTTTTATCAATCGTGCTAATCAGACCCTTAGCTCACAGCTCTGACCCAACCTACCCCGGAGGACCTGCGTAAGGAGATCCGAAAATGCAGGACCATGACCAAGAACCCATTCGCTGTCAACATCACTCTCCTACCCACGATGAACGCTCCACCCTATGGCGAGTACGCCCAAGTCTGCATCGATGAGGGAATCAAGATCGTGGAGACAGCAGGCAACTCGCCTGGCCCGGTCATCAAGCAGCTGAAAGGCGCTGGTATCATCATTCTTCACAAGTGTACTACCATTCGGCATGCTCAATCCGCTGTAAAGCTTGGCGTGGACTTCCTGTCGATCGACGGCTTTGAGTGTGCTGGCCATGTGGGTGAATCGGATATTACCAACTTCATCCTGCTCTCAAGAGCGAGACAATCCCTCGGAGCTCCGTTTATTGCTTCTGGCGGCTTTGCGGATGGCCAGGGACTAGCCGCCGCCCTAGCCCTAGGTGCGGAAGGTATCAATATGGGCACGAGATTTATGTGCACTGTCGAAGCGCCGATCCACGTTAACATCAAGCAAGCAATTGTGGATGCCTCGGAACACGATACTGAGCTCGTGTTGAGAAGATGGAGGAACACTTCCAGACTATTCAAGAACAAGGTTGCACAGGAAGCTGTCGCGATCGAGAAGAGCAGCACAACCGGCAAATTTGAAGAGGTGGCTCCATACGTGTCCGGGAAGCGTGGGCGAGAGGTCTTCATCAACGGAGACAAGGACTTTGGCGTCTGGACTGCTGGTCAAGTCATTGGGTTGATTCATGATATTCCAACGTGCCAGGTGCTTCTAACGAGAATCGAGAAGGAAGCTGTGGAGGCCATTGAAAGGAGTCGGAAGTTCTATGAACCCCAGAGCAAACTATGAGAGGCTCTCGCATACCCGTGTTGGGCAAGTGGCGTTTTCGGAGGAAGAATTGAAGACGAAGACTTAGTTAGATCTTGGGTCTGTCTAACCACACTCCCGTGAAAAGATTTCATGTCGCACCGACCCGATTGGTCTCAAAGTATGAGGTACAAAATGAAAGACGCGAGTGATTGATCATCTTGTCATCTCAGACGCTTATTGAGCCTGGTCGAGAAATGGGAAGCGATCAGCAACATTATTGTCCTGTCAAGGTGGGCGAGGACACCAACCGCAATTTTTGCCTGTGAGGCCTCGCTTGCCTCGCTTACTTCCTCGTTTCTTGGTCTATCTAGGATCGCAAGGTTTGTCGCATACGGGCTCGAACTCGATTGGCTGCATACGAGGTACTCTATATAAGTGTACTCTGTACAAGCAACCTCATTCTGGACCCTTTTCCTGTTTCTCCCTCGTGTTAAGATTTTCCTTCTCATAAGGCGTCCGATGTTATGACGGCGGATTCGAGGAGATCCTCATCCTTCCCTGAAGAAAATCCATTTTCAAGAAAATCAGGCGGGTTTAATGGCGGCCTTAGCTGACCAGCGGCAAGATGTCCACACGGTATGGGATTCTTGACGATGGTATCCAGGTATGATCAGGCCGGTAAGCAGCTCACTCGGGTCCTTAAAGACGTATATTCTCTCCATCTATTCTCTTTTCAATGCGTCAAAGTACGCTCCGAGACCTGGTCTGCATTGATCAATCGCTACAATGGGAAGCGTTGACCGAGCTACAAAGCCCTATTCGGTGTTGATAGTAGGTGCCGGCATCGGCGGACTGTCGGCGGCGATTGGATTGTCACGCAAGGGCCTGGAGGTCACCGTCCTCGAAGGGAAATCAGAGTTGAACGAATTCGGTGCCAGCATCAGCATCGATTCTCACGCAGTCAGGGTCATCAAGGCCTACGGTTTAGAGGAGCACTTCAGACCCTGCGTCACGGAAAACAAATACATCGATCTCCGCGACGGCGCGGACAATGAGCGGCTGGGTGCCGTCTTCCACAATCAAGGGAACCACAGTGGTGTCCTCTGGGGGGCGCCGAAATGGAGTATCCACCGCGCGGATTACCAGCAGCTCCTCGCCAAAGGCGCCCAGCGGTACGGCACCAACATCTTGTTCAATGCCGAAGTCACCCGCGTCGACGTGGACACGAACACGCTGTGCCTTAAGGACGGCCGTGCCCTCTCGGCCGACCTCATCGTGGGAGCTGATGGTCTGCGCTCTGCAGTCCGGGGCTCCATCCCTGCCATCGCCTCGGTCGAGCTGATCCCCTCGGGCGAAAAGGCGTACCGGTGCACCGTCGACAAGGACGCCATGGAGTCGAACCCGAATCTCGCGTGGCTGTTGACGCAGGGCACGAGCCAAATCTGGTTCATGCCGGGGAAATACATCCTTTCGTGGCCCCTGCCGCCGCACAGGCCGTACGACGTGGTCGTGTGCATCGGCGACGGCTGCAACGTCCCCTACGGCTACTGGGGCATCAAGGCCGATCCGGCACAAGTCGCCGCCGAGTTTGGGGACGCCTGTCCCACCATCAAGGACCTGCTCGCCAACATCGGCCCGTGCGTCCAGTGGCGCCTCGCCGAGCTCCCTCCCCTGAGCACCTGCCGGAGCGACCGGGGTGGCACGGTCCTCCTCGGCGACGCCTGGCACGCGATGCTCCCGCACGCCGGCTCCGGCGGCTCCTGCGCCATCGAAGACGGCGCCGTCCTCGCCGAATGTGTCGGCTGGGCTTGGGAAACCGGCCGGCCCATCGCCGACGCCACAAGGGCGTACGAAGCGCTCCGCAAACCGCGCGTCGAGCGCATCCAGGCGGCGAGTCACGACGGAGTGGGGTTTTTGAACGGCCACGACGCCGAGACCCGCAACGCGTTTCTGGCCAGACAGCTCGTGGTCGACGAGGCTGAGCTGGCGCGGCCCGAGGAGGAAAGGAGGGCGCAGTCTCGTCCGCCGGCGAACATGCATGCGCCGTTCCCGAGCCCGTCGTATCTGCAGTGGTTGTACAGTTACGACGCTATCAAGGAGACGCAGAAGTATCTGGCTCGAGAAGAGGCATCTTCGGGAACGTGAGCAGATGTTTTGGTGGTTGTGGTGCCTTGCTCGATACGGGATGCTCGCTCGATGGCACCGGATTGCTGAGGCGTAGCAATCTATCTGGAGATACACACACGTGAGGGGGGGGGAGAATCAGCGTCGGCCTGGCTACCAGGTGAGGTATTTCCCAAGTATTTATATATACATTATTTGCCAGACCAACGTCCTCCGGCTTTTTCATAGCATGCGTTCAACTTTTCACTAGTGTCCTACATCGAGGATCTCTGTTATAGTGCCAAATCTGGTCTGGGATCCGGG